CAGACTGTCATACAACAACAGAGTGTCATACAACAACAGAGTGTCATACAACAACAGACTGTCATACAACAACAGTGTCTTCAGTCAGAGGCTTCTTCAGATCTGCTGTAGGACAAGAGATCCTTCCTGCCCACAGCATCAGCATCTAGAACAACTCTAATGAAACCAGGATGATGAGTTACAACATTTAATTTACCTCTGGGATTAATAAAATATTTTTGAATTGAATTGATCATGCACAGATGTTGCTCAAAGCTTCATCAGGCAAACAAGAAGCCAGATGTGAACATCCAGAACCACTGCCATCTTCTCTGGACCAGAGCTCATTTCAAATGGACTCAAGTCCAGAACTGTTCTGAGGTCTAGTGGAATAAACATTTTATTCGTTTTGTAAACCAGGGACTCCACGGCTGACCCAGATCAGGAGCGGTCACTGCTGTGCAGTCTGCTCTGACAGAACTGTTTCAGTTCCGTGTAAACAACAAAAGGTCGTGGTCCACTGGTCCAGGAGCGGTCCAGAAACTAACTGGTTGTTCACCAGTAACTGTTTGATTAATGTCCAGTGAGCGGGCACAGGAGCAGGTCTGATGGAAACCACGGCCTCAGCTCCAGAGCTGGAGGATCAGCTCAGAACCTGGACTGGGACTTTACACAGCCTCTCAGATGATTCTGGGTGTACTAATGCAGGCCACGATCTGCCACAAAACATTTTGTCCATTAAAAACTACCATTTAAACAAAAAGTAAAAAACAAACGTCAAGGTTTATTGTTTACAGACAAGACCCTTAAAGAGTCAAAACGTTCCAAATTGATTTATTTTTGATATTTTTATTTCTGGCTGTGAGAGACCTGAAGGACTCACCAGTTCATTGTGGACATGCCTTTCATAGAGTATGTTTAATGTCACAAAGGTCGAAACATGAGGCCATGTTTCACATCTGGACCCGGAACAACTTCATACACACACACCAGACTCAAATTTACCTGCTGCCAGATAACATTTATTTATTTATAATGTCCATCCATCCATCATCCATCCATCCATCCTCCATCCATCCAGCCTCTTCCTCTTGTTCTGGACTAAGGTCTGGGAGCAGCATCTTGAGCAGGGAGGTCCAGACATCTCTTTCCACAGCCACCTCGTCCAGCTCTTCTGGGAGGACTCCAAGGTGTCCCCAGGACAACTGAGAGACATAGTGTCTTCAGTGTGTCCTGATCTTCCCCAGGGTCTCCCCCCAGTCAGACGTTCCAACTGTCTCCTCTGGATGTGGAGGAGCAGTGGCTCTCCTCCGAGTCTCTCCTGATAACTGAACTTCTCACCCTGTCTCTAAGGGAGAGCCCAGCTCCTGCAGATGAAACTCATTTCAACCTCCTGGATCCACGATCTCATTCTTTCAGTCTCTACCAGAGTTCATGACCAGAGGTGAGGGGAGGAACATAGACCGACCAGTAAACGGACAGCGTTGTCTTACAGCTCACCTCTCTCTTCACCACAACAGACCAGTACACAGTCCACAATACTGCAGATGCTGCACCAATCTGTCTGTCAGTCTCACGCTCCATTCTTCTCTCACTCGTGAACAAAACTTTGAGATACTCGAACTCCTCCACTTGAAGCAGAACCTCGACCTGAAGAGAACAATCCACTCTTTTCCACCTGACTTTAAAATGTTTCCATTAGTTATATTGTAATAAACACAGGTGGATGTATTTATTTATATTTCATGCAGCATCCCATCGCTGGACAAAACAGTTTCCAGTGAGTAAGGACAAAGGTAGAAAGGCTGAAAGATCCAGAGCTACTTGGTGTTGGAGGATCGACTCAACTCCTCCATGTCTGTGGGTGTAAAGCAGACCTGTTCCTGTGGTTTCACTCATCCAACACAGACTTACTTGATGATTCGAGAGTCTTTGTTGTAGCCCCCGTCGTATTCTGTCGTCTCCTCCAGGGCATGGAAGTCCAGGTTCTGCAGAACGGACAGAGGGTTTAACCTCGACATTCACCATGACTGAGAACATCAGAGACGGATCTCACCCTGCTCCCACAGATCAGCAGCTCGATCTCCTCCGGTCTGAACAGGTACTTGAGAGGAGACTCGTTGGTGACCATGTGGAAACCCCGTCGGAACGCCTTGAACTGCTTCTCCACACTTTTGTTCAAAATGTATTCAGAATACTGCGTCACGAACTCCTGTGGAAACAGCAGCAGAAAGACCTTCACTTCATGTAAAGCACATCTGACCCCTCTACAGCCACATCTGACCCCTCTACAGCCACATCTTAACCTTATACAGCCACATCTGACCACTAAACATTAACATCTGACCCCTCTACAGCCACATCTGATCCCTCTACATTAACATCTGAACCCTCTACATTAACATATGACACCTCTACAGCCACATCT